ACCGCTGCCACTACCACTACCACTATTAGTATTACTGTTACTCTATTATTTCTACTACTACTACTACTACTACTACTATTCCTACTACTATTACCACCACCACCACCACCACCACCACGACTACTACTACTATTACTGCTACTACTACTACTACTACTACTACTACTTCTACTACTATTACTGCTCCTACTCCTACTCCTACTCCTGCTCCTCCTACTACTACTACTACTACCACTACTATTATTACCGCAACTGCTACTACTATTGCTACTTCTGCTGCTACTACTACTGCTACTGCTACTGCTACTGCTGCTACTACTACGACTACTACTACTACTACTACCACTACCAATGGAACTTAGTGTGATTCAGGTAGCAATTACTGGAAGTGCTGGCGCCAGGATAAACGCCAAGCCCAACATTATTGCCTGCCATGCAATGTATATGATATGATAATTATGATAGTATATGCGGGCCCCCATTCTGGGCAGAACAGCATTGTGGTGTCAAGTCATTAACCGCCTAACAGGCAAAGGCCATGTCAGAATGCCAGGCAGGACAAGAGCCTAGAGTATCAGCAACAGTGTTTCAAGCCAAGCAGCTGCGCCTGATCCACCTTGGCAGCCCTTGCTACGGCATCAGAATTGTCATCAATGTGACATTGTGGCACTTCCAAGTTTGCCAATCATTCTTGTCAGCTGTTGGTTCTGCTTTTACATGGCTAGCAAAAGTTTGCCAAAGTGATGGCAAATCAAGCAGACAACAGCAGTTTGTTCCTTGGTCATTTTGTATATTATCAGGCATTGAGTTCTGTGGGGCACCACAAATAAGCTTACTTCCAACAGTGGGCTGTCACAGGCAAATTAGAGGGTGCTATTGCCATACTACCATACACAGCGCAAAGTTCATGCCAATGCTGCTGGCAACAGCACAGCCATCATGTCATTGGGGTTGCAACAGGTCAACGGGGCTATAGTTTTTTTTGCACAAGCTTCAGCGCCTGGTTTTGATAGATAGACACCATGAGTGACGAAAGATCAGGCATAGCAGCAGCGCAGCAGCAGCAGCAGCAGCAGCAGCAGCAGCAGCAGCAGCAGCAGCAATCAACAGCTCAGCAGCAACTCAGCAGCAGCAGGTCAGGGTCAGCAGCAGCAGCAGCAGCAGCAGCAATCAACAGCACAGCAGCAACAGCTCAGCAGCAGCAACTCAGCAGCAGCAGGTCAGCAGCAGCAGCAGCAGGAGCAGCTCAGCAGCAGCAGCAGCAGCAGCAGCTCAGCAGCAGCCGCAGCAGCAGCTCAGCAGCAGCAGCTCAGCAGCAGCAGCTCAGCAGCAGCAGGTCAGCAGCAGCAGCAGGTCAGCAGCAGCAGCAGCAGCAGCAGCAGCAGCAGTGAGCAATAGCAACATGTGTCTCTGAGTTTGCTCAATTGTGAAATTGAAGGGTTCGTCCATAATTTAGGGCCCCAACAATTATCCTAGATTCTAGATGATAATGGACATATTGTTGGCCTCAGCTATTACTCTGTACCAATTCCTTCAAAACCATGGACGAGCTATGTTTCAGGGTCTTACGGGGTAGACCAGTATAGACCAGTTTTGGAATTGCTTGCCCCTCAATTTCACAAGGCTTGAGTTCTTTGCCCCAAAGTACTACTCCTGCCAGTTCTCCTTGAACCGCCCAAATCCTTAAACCCTCAGAGCTGGGGAATCTGTACAACTTTAAACCTCAACCTCCTCCTAAACCCTTAAAATCTGAACCCCAGAACCCTGAAGCCGCAAAACCCCAACCCCCAAACCCTGAAGCCTTGCACCCCTACAGACCGAAAGCTTGGGTACTCCCGCCCTGTAACAGTTGGGCAATATTTATATTATCATTCCATATAACCTGTGGCCACCAGTATAGACTGTTACAAGGTGGGGGCGGTACCCAACCTAAACCCTAAACTTTAGACCCCACGCAGAACACACATACGTGCAAAGAGTAAACAACACAGTCCAGCGTCCGGTCAAAGCTTATGTTTTTCTGCTGCTGCTGCTGCCACCGCTTGCTGCTGGCTACTGCTACTGCTTACGACTTGAGGACTACAGTGCCTACAGCCTACATTTGCCAACAACAAAGCCACCAAATGTTTAGCGCCTTTAGAATTTTCACATGAAGCTGATGTCCTTTTTTGCGTTGCTGGGCATGTTTGGGCTTTGAGATCTGAAATTTTCATGTTTTGGTTTACTTGTGCAGATGGACTCCAAAAGTTGAGGCTCCAAGGGACATGAGTTGCAGATTCCCACACGGATGCACACTCCACTGTTTTTTCCTTGCAGGGGTGTTCCCATTCCCAACCATCAGGTCATCAGTGCACAATCATTATCATCAGGATTTTGTGCTGAGGTGCGTGATTGGCAGTGAATCATGCTCGAATGACGCACAAAGCATGCCATCTGGGCATTGAGGTAGGTAGGTCATCCTGAGTGTCACTAGGGACACCTGCAGCAAATTGCTGCCATGGCAGCAGGGACAGGGGGCAACTCCTGGGATGATTTGCTGCGCGATGAGCTCAGTGAAGCGCAGCACTTGGTCCAGGACATTGATGAGTGCGATGTTTTGAGAACCTCTAGCAGCGCATGTGAGTCTGAGCAGCCAGACGGTGATAACAGTCGCATTGGTTCGCACTGCTCTTCAAACCAGCCTAGAACCGGTGGGCTGTTGTGCTGAAGGCAGCTGGCAGGGAGCTAGGCTTGGAGGATGGAGATGTTCCAAGCAGCCAGGGAGGGGTCAGTCGACTCAACGTCATCTCAGCGTGCAGCGGTTGCGGTGCTGAGTCATGGGCGTTGAAGGCCAGCCTTGATTTTTGATTGCTACTGGCAGATTGCAGTTCAGTCGAGATTGGGTACTGGCATCAATCACGGTCCAAAACAATTTGTAGTGCAACTTCAAGGTTGAAGATTCTAGTCGGCAGAGGCTGCACATGCGCAACATCCTCCAACAACCCAGTGCAACAATGTCAGTACACTATGCAGAGGGTCGGCTTCTGGTCAAGTCCAGTTGGTTGTGTTGTGATAAGTTTTGAATGATTAATTGAACACTTAAAATGAAGTCATGAGCCACAACAAGATCCATCGATAGAATCATGAAAGAATTACACCTGCTTTTGAACAATCTGTGGTTGACTGAGTAGCTGTGCATTGGTGCTTAGTAGTAGTAGTAGTAGTAGTAGTAGTAGGAGTAGTAGTACTGGTTTAGTGTTTTAGTTGACCTGGTAGCACAGTCATGAAAGCTTCGTTGCCCATCCGGTGCTCACAAGGTTGGAGGCCAGGCAGGCCAGGCAGGCCAGGTTGGATTCAGAGTAACCTCATTCCGGGCAACGTCTCATACCTTCTTTTTGAGTCCAGGGACATTTAGTGATTAGTGAGGTTTAATTATGACGTGACATGTCATGGCATTATTCTGATACGGGAAGGTGCATAGCAATTGCAACAAAGCGTTGAGACAGAAGTCGCAGCTTGTCCCAAGCTATGTTGCGCAATCCCAGTCTCCAAACTAGGGGCTGTCAGCCATAAGCCCTAACTTAGCCCTAAGCTCCTAGACCCCAGATGCAGTACAATCCTACACAATGTACCTAAACCTACCTCTGACCTATGGGGTTTTTGGCCCCCGGAGAAGCGCGCTAGCTGAATCTAACCACCATCCTTCAGACGCTCGACAATAAGAAAGTTGCAAGCTTTGCTACCTTGCAGGGCCTCGGCATTGGCTTTTCGGTGCTGGCAGCCTCAGACACAAATCCCGAGTACAGAGCATTTTTGATGCAGAACTTCAAGCGGGAGTGCAAACATGTTTTTGAGTCTGTGGAGGCTCAGCTTGAGGGAGCAAGGATATGCGCTGGGTGTATTGACAGGGAGATTTCAGCCTGGAGTGCCGATTGCAATGAGGGTTGGACAGCCACTATTGACCTTCTAGTGAGCGGCTCGCCGTGCGACCCGTATTCCTGCCAACGCCCCAAACGGTTTGCAGATGGATCTGTGAAGGACCACAAGGATTACGAAACTACTATGACATCTGTTGTTGCCATGTATCAGAAGTATCAACCCCATGTTGGGATCATGGAACAAGTCATGGGTTTCACAAAGCCAATGTCCACCACTTCCGCTCCGGATGATACGCCTTACCGCAGGCCAGCTTTATTGCAAAAGTTTGGCATGAGTGTTGAGCCAATTAAGCCAGTTAGCCAATTGAGCATCCGCATGTTGGCCCCATGGTCCTTCAGGTCCTCTGTTTGCCCAGGTGCCACATTGAAATATTGAGGCCCCATATGTACATGTTTGAGCAGGATTGCCAAGCGACAGTCATGTACAGTGGCAACAGTGCAGGTTCATGAGCTTTCTGCAAGAGGGTTTGCTAGGGAAGTTGGGCGTCATGAGGCACGGGAAAGCTGCTTGCAAAGACATGGTGGGAGAGGGGCCCAGCTTTGAGGGTTTGGTGACTTTACAGTGTTACAGTGGTTGCTGAACGTTGGTTGTAGTTGTAGATTGTAGATCTCATGAATCATCCCCAGAATTAGTTTTGTCAATGGACAGGGCCAGTAAGATTAGAGAAATTTCTACGTCAGAAGAGGCGATGCCAATCCATGCTCCGTTCCATATCCCCTAAACCCCTAAGGCCCTAAGTGGCTATGCTGTCAAATTCCTAGTGGTCAGTGACAGTCTTGGTTGACAAGCTGACTGCAGTTGACCACTGCCATTCACCCCATGATGCGAAGGCCCTGACTGTTGCTCTGCAGGCCCCTTGTAATGGTAGCTGGTAACCCCATGCCCAGTAACCTTCTCATGCCCCACGCTGCGCTGCTACACTGTGGCCAGGTTCCTGGACAAGCTTGGCAGCTATCAGTACAAAGGCGGTGGCTATTACGTCTTGAAGTTCACGCTAGACGCCTCCTCTTGGCTGGCGATATCAAGACCAAGGTGCCATCTTGTGTGGTGTCGTAGTGAACTTTTCACAGTGTCCTGCTAATCTTGCCCGTCTTCTGACTACTGTTCTGTTATAGTTATAGTTGCGATTGAGGCCCTGGTTTGCAGTTATGGTCTGTTTGAAATGGGAGGGCTGTGTTCAGTTGAGGTTTGAAGCTCATGCGTTGCAATGGGGGCATCCTTTGGTCATTCGTGGTTTGGCCTACTGCCTTCAGCCTTCATTTGACACAATGACACAATGCAAGCCACGTCTGTGTGCCATTGTTATTAGTTGGTTATGCGGTTATGCTGATTGACATTTCGCAGCCAGCCAATAGCCGAGCCATCTCATAGGTCATAGGCCCATAGGCATTGCCACCAGCTGGTCACATGGAATTTGCAATGTGTGCTGTGTGCAAATCTGCAGCTCCTTCAGTTCCTCTCCCATCCCATTCATGGTAGCCGGCACTCCATAGCCGCAAAGCCATACAGGGTAACTTTCAGAGTGCAGGAGCTGTGTTGGGGCAGCAGGGTTTGTAAATGGTAAACGCTGCTAGTTTCATCCTGGGGCCTCAAGTGTTTTGCCAAAAAGTACTTGCTGACTATGGAAATGGTTGTTGAACCTTTTTGAACGCCATGGACCTCCCAGAGAGTACACAGTGGGATGATGCTTTAGATGTTGAGCTTGCTGGTTCACAGAGACGTCGTCCTCATAGCGAAGATGCTAAGGGTGTGGGGCAGAATCAGAGTGAGCAGGTTGCCAACGATGCCAATGATGATGATGATGATGATGATGATGATGATGGCTTGGCTCAACTAGCTGAGCTTATGATTTTGAGCAGCGAAGTTCAGGCAGCAGAGGCTGTGGCAGGAGCAAACGTAGATGAAAACCTGGACCATCTTTCTGACTATGCTCCTAGTCATGCAGGCGATTTACAACTAGACCCGGATCAAGCAGCTTCTCAGGATGTGTCAGACATAGGTGTGTCAGCGTCATCTTGGGATGATGTTATCAGTGATTCTATTGCCAGTGCACCGAGCGAAGCTGCTCATGACAGGCCAGGGCATGGGGTTGGGGCTGAACGTGGGCGTGGGCGTGGGCGTGGGCGTGCTGCAGGTGGTCGAAAGTCTGGCAGCCGCATCTTGCGCCAAAGTATTCAGGCGTTTCAGGAAGCTCATAACAGAGAGCAGTCTGAGAATGCAGAGCTGGTGCCACGTGTACCCAGTGTTGTAACAGCCTTAGCAGCAAGGTCAGCAAAGGCACAGAGAATTCGTGAGCAGACCTTGGACCCTCAGCAGTTTGGCCCTTCTGCCATCATTTGCCACACAGGCAGCCCAGTGCAGCGAACGTTGGCTTCTGCTTTACAGTTGCTAGTGAAGACACCTGATGACTGGAAAGCAACTCTTGCATCCATCAACAGCGTAGACAAACTGGAGCCTTTGGACCTAGTGTTGAGCGGTGCAGGTCTTTTATGCAGCGCACAGGCACTGGCAAATATCACAAGTTCCAGCAAAACCACAGTGCAGCGGAGGCTCATACAAGCTGGGTCAGCTACAATGGAATCAACTGGGTTCCTCATAGGCAGCATGCTCAGTCTTCTTGAGAAGCAGGCCGACCACATAGAACCCTTTATCTTCATCCTGAGTGTGAAGTATGACGAGACTCCCACCAGGGTGCGTGTGGCCACCTTGCCAATGCAGGACGATGAGATGGATCGTGGTTCTGGATGCCAGCATGTGATCGTGCCAAAATCTTGTGCTAAAGGCCCAGAGCTGCAACGTTTCTTAGCTGCTCAAGGCCAGAAGCGCTCTGCTGATGCAAGCATGGCTGCCCAGGCCACAAACCATGCAAAGCTGCTGCAAACCCAGGTGGAAGTGATCAGCGTGTACAAAGTCAAGTGCCTTGGCCAGTCTCAGGTGCCTGAATTCCGCAGTATTCAGACTGCGTTGCCATGTGGCTTGCAGGCCATGGACAGGAGCACAGGTGAGAACCAGCGGCGAGCAGTGTGGGAAACAATCACTGTCATCCCAGAATTGACTAGGATCATGGAGTCCTTCCCAATCCAAATCCGCCTCGCGGCCACTGATAGGTACACAGCGAATTTCCGCACAGAGCGCGGGCTTTCTGAATACATGCAAGGTGCATGGCTTTGTCACCTGCCATGCGATGCTCATAAAGCAAGTACGTGCATCAAACATTGCCTTCGACCATGCGAATCAGATGTATCAGGAATCCTGAATACAGGACTCATGTTGGGTGGTGACCTTGGCGTGGTGAAGAAATTGCGCGACCTTTTCATAGCCGTTTTGTGTCAGGATTTGAACGTTTGTGCATCGCCCCCAGAAAACCATGCAGAGTGCGAACGTTTCAGGACTGAGGTTTTCAACCTTTTTCTGCCAACAGTTGGCGTACCGCCTGGTGAGGCCAAATTAAATCAGAAGAGACGATTTGTCTTGAAGTTTTTCTTCAATTGCGATTTATCAAGCCAAGTGGTGGAGCACTATTGCCAAGGGTGCTGTCACGGGCCAGATGAACGTTTGATGGCAATGTCACAGTATTTGGCCTGGTCCTTGATACCGTTTAAATGTCCAGTTTTCTCCCGCAAGAACTGGATCAACCAGCCCCCAGCGATGCATCTGGGACATTCTTACAAGTCATTTCTTGTTTGTTTCAAGAGTTTTCGGTTTCAAGGTTCGGGCAATTTTGATATGTAGGATTAGGGCTGATTAGGATTAGGGGTTTATGGTGGTTAAGCAGTGGTGTGGTGTTTCATGATCGTGACATGAGTATCCAGGGTTCAACAATCAATAAATGAACCCAACCCAAGCCGAGCCAACAACCAGCAAATCGTAGGCCACAGGTCATAAGTATATAGGTTGCAAGAGCAGTTGAGGAACTGGATCGGCGTCCTTGAAAGTCATCATCACATGTACACGAAACTTCTTCGCATGTATCTTGGCAAGCCAGCAGGCCCACCAGTTCCTCTTGGCCATGATGAATCAGGAAGCGCAGATGCTCAGCCATTGGATAACCATGCCAGAGGCAGAGGTAGAGCCAATGTCCAAGCTGATCAGGGCCAGGGTGCTGGTTCTGCGAACTCAGAGCCCAGTGCCAATGCAGACTCAGCACAACCAGCTGATGCAACTTCTGCATTTGCAGAAGAGAATGCCAGACGGCGTGCAAGTGTTGGAGAATATGTGGACAGTAATCCCCTTCCCAGGCTTGTTGTCATGAAGCGCGTCCTACAGCCCATTCATGACTTCCTTACCAAGATGCTGGCAACCAGTAGCAAAGCCTGGGAGAGAAAACAAAAGGCCATTGCAGCTACGGGTAGGGATAGATCATACATCATCCTGGAGGATGCGCGTGGTGAATCGGTTGCAACAACCATGGGGCAGCTTTTGGGGACAATTCAAGAGGACGCCTTTGGCTTTCCAACCCCATCCGTGCCATGTGCCTTTCGTGCGTTGAAGTTTTGCATGGCATCTGCAACTATGTGCGCTGTTCATTCGCTCATCCGACTTAGCCATTCAGGTTTGCCCTATCAACTCTTCCGCCTTTTGGATGAGCCTTCAGCAGCTGCTGACAGATTGCTAGCTTTGCCAGATTGCATGCTCGACCAACTGTTCACAGAGCTCAAGAAGATGTTTCCAACTAAGAAGCTTCTTATGGGTCCTGAAGCCCAGGTCATCATCAGCACCTTGGCAAGTGTAGCCAGCACCAACATTGCAGATGTTGAGGCAGCCCACAACTCAACACGAGATTTCTCATCCATCCGGTCGAGGGGCTGGTCTTGCTCATTGGAAGCCCTGAGTGCACGTTTTGTGCTCCAACAAAAGCTGCGACTGCTGGGTGGCACAAACATCCGTGGCAATGACAAGAAGGAGGCACTTGTAAAGCGTTCCATGGCTGCCCTACGCTGCAACCCAAGCCCAAGCCTGGGCGAGGCGGTTGAGGGTGTCCGAAAGAAACGTGGCGGTGGCGGAGGGGCGTGGAGGGCCTTTGTTTCTTATCACCTTCCTAACAAGAAGCTGACAGCTGCCCTGGCAGCAGACCTCAGCAGCAGATATAGGCAGCTGGATGATGCACAGAAGGAATGGTTTGCAAAGGCAGGGGCAGCAGGAACAAGGGCCCACCGTCATGGCCATGCAGCCTTTGGAAAGCGTGCGCCTCCGCAAGCCTTGCCAGGTGAGCAAGCAGCTGCCAATCCAGATGCAATTGTTGCAGTTGATGCAGAGCGAGATGACTTCAGCATGGTCTTGCTCGGTTATGAATCCTTCTCTGAAAAATACGAAGCCTTCAAGCAGTCGTTGCCAAAGGCCCCTGTGCATGAGACAGATCCGCTCATGGTGTCTGCAGAGCAGAGCCAAGCAATGGCCTTGGTCCAGCAAGACCTCAGCAGTTTGCAGATGGTGCAAGCCTTGGAGAACCAGGGCCACACTGACATCGCTGCTGCCTTTGAAGGCAACAGCTACACCAAGGCCACCAAGGGTTGTGCGGGCAATGGCTCAGGCTCGTCCCAAGAGGATACCCCATCTGTGGCACGCTTTTCCTGGTGCGCCCCTAGCGAGAAGGTTGTGCAGGCAGGGGAATGTTTGGGTTGAAAGTGAACACTAACAACCCAGTCAGCTGTGGTTTTGGCCAGTGGTCCTAGTAAGTAAGTAGGAGTATGCTGCTCAACTTTGACGTCCCTGTGGAACATGTTGAGATTGTACCTAGCTGGCTCCTAGCTTTGTCATGCCAGCGAGCGCTAGCTGCTAGCTAGCCCAGGAGAACAATGGCCCAAAGCTTTCCAGAATCCCAGTGAAGGCACAGGCGTAGTCAGAGTTGCCTGATGCATGTCGATGTGTTGCTATAGCTTCTTGTTTGATGTGTAAACTCCTGCCAACTTTACGGCTTTATGGGAACCGCTTGTGGCATGCAAATCAAGACTGTGCTGACATCCAGGCATGGCAGTGCCAGTACTAGTCACCAGTAGTCATTGCCAGGGTCACGTAGATTGAGGTGTGCAAGCATAGGGTTCGACTCTTAGTCTTAGACGAATTCGGGTGAGGTTTGACTGGGGTCTTTGGCGCTAGGCAGAAAGTGTGTATTGTTCCAAAGTTTATCATGCTCAGTTTGAAATAGAGAGAATTCAAATTATCTTCAGGCCTTTTCTCCGATTCACGGATTTAACCAAATGCTGGCAGGTAGGCGGGAGGTCAGGCCATCATCCTTGAGCTGGTTCAATTTTGGAAAGGCAGCAGCCTGCCTCCCCTGGTGTCAGGACACAGGGAATGGGGTTGGGATGTGCACCTGCAAGCCTGTTTTTGTCTTAGAGATGTTCAGGTATGTTCGTGTGCCCAAACCACAGCCCATTGAACAGCCCTTTGACTCATTTCCCCTCTGCATAACTTTATGAGTGTGCCCGCCTGCCCCCAACATCACAACGCAGGCCACGCTACGCGATGACCGTGCTGCCAACGCGCGCCGGAAACAATACAAGCTTTCATCAGTTCTCACGCGTTCTTGGAACAGGCGTTGTCGTGTCCTTGTGCATGCAGAGCAGAAGCCCATCTGCTCAACAGAGGCATCCGGGGCCTTCAAGGAGACGCTCTGCTTCAAGTATGGATTGTGCATCTGTGGTGGGTCCGACGTGTCAGTTCCGGATACATTGCATTGCTTCCACAATATGAAAGCTTGGATGGCCTCTGTGTTTGCCAAGAAGCAGAAGGTGGCCCCAAGAGCACGAGTGCTAATGGAAGGACACTTGATTGTTTTTCGTTTCTCTGCAGGTCCAGCTTGGGAGGTCAAGAGCGTTGATGCTGCTGATGAATTGCCTCTGGATCCTGGCTCTGCTGCTGCTGGGGCCGGGGCTGCTGCTGGGGATTCGGAACAGGTTGTTCGGTATGTGCACCCTGGACATGTCAATTTCTCCACATGGCATTTCACCGTCATGTGCATGACTGATGATCTTCTGCGGGTCGGCATTCCGCACGCCAGTGGTGATGCAGGCGTTTTGCAGGTTGCTTGTTTGCCGCGCGGCGAAGCAGGTGAGACACATGGTGTTGTCACAGACCTTCAGTTCTTTCAGAACTTGGACTTAAACCGTGCTTGGACAGTGTCAGTTTTTGGGGTCATACTCGATGAAGATTGTTGGCAGCAGTGGGACACCTCTGCAAAGGTTGTGCCTATCAAGCAGCTGGAGGACACAGACTCTTCCCAGTGCTTGATCTGGCGAGGCTCTGCTTATGAGCTGCACATGAGAGAAATGCGTAAGAAGAGAGCAGACAAGAAGCGACCGTATGCAGCAGACAAGGCCAAGGCCCCCAACAAAAGGCAGAAGAAGACCCCTTCCAGCAAAGCTTCTGCAAAGGCAGGACTCCACAGTGCAGATCATGAGTCTGCTGAAATTGGGGCTGAAGCCACGGGTGGAGCGAACCCTGCTCCAGATGAACTCTTGCAGGCAGAGGCAGACCCATATGGCCTGGACCCCTTGCATGAAGAGGATGCAGGGCCAGAGCTGGGCATTGGCATCACAGCGGAGGAGAAAGATGCAGCAGATGCTGACCAGGCTCTGGCAGACCTGGAGCTTATGCTGGCTGGCGAGCAGGATGAAATTCTTTCCAACTGCTCCCCTTCTGTGGCTGGCTCATCCGATGGTGATTTTGACTGGGATGAGTTGTTGTCTGGCATGGATGCACCGTCTGGTTCTGGCAATGGCGCAGCTTCCAGCTCCAGCAAGCCGGCGCATGCCCAGCCTGATGATGCGCTTCTGCTTGATCAGCGTGATCCTCCGCCTGAGCCTAGTGCAATCGCAAGCGATGCTCCAGCTGAACTTCGTGCTCCTGCAGAGCAGGCTGGTGCACGATTGCACCGAGGGGGGCCCAGAGACGAGTTCACCAAGAGAGAACTTGAACTCCCTGGATGGGGGCGGTTGAGATATTACCCTCATGAAAAACAGCTAATAGCTGTTTGTGAGCGGCACCGGAAAGCAGATTGTAGAATGCAGAGGACTGTTGTGGAAAACCCACGAGCTCAGAGCAGCAGACCAGGCACTGTTACAGCCGGACAAGGACGCCCGCTGGGCTTGCTGATGAACTGGCTAAGATGCCAACACGATTTTGATTCCCAACAAACTCACATTCACGAGTACAAACATGATCTACCTGGGAGACAAGAAGCCCGAGCCTGGTTTTTGTCTGCCTTTGCTGAGGCACCTGAATGGGCTGATCTAGAGCGCCCAAAGAGGGAAGGAGAGGACGATGAACCTTCCAAAATTCGCTAGCCAGAAGCGTCAGGAGCACCCTTGAAAAATGATACCCAGGTTGCCCAGCTCTCGTGTGCCAGTGCTGCCTTCAGGGTTCAGGAAGACTTTACCAGACCATGTGCGTCACGCGGTTTTCATAATGTACAGTTGGGCCAACTTGTTGATTGTTGAGCTTCCCAGTGTCTCAGGGGTGCTGAGTGCGATGGTTACATAGTCATAGTTTCCCTGCGTGCCTGTTTGTAAGCCATGAGGTTTATCACCAGTGTAGCAGGTCTTGAATGATGACGGTCAAGTTCAGTAACTTGTATTCAACTCCCACAACAGCACACAGAGGCAGGCCAAGCACATGTTGGACAGGATAGAAGACATGAGGTACCTGCCTTTGTGAACACACAAATTTAATAATCAAATCTTGTACCAATGGTATTCAAGCTTAGGATGAACAACCCTTGAGATGAGGAACAAGAACTTAGGGAGTCAGGGATGTATGTACCTTGGCGTCACAGTACTGGACACCTGGTCAAATCTCATGTCATTGTACTCCTTATGCATTTTTGCGCCTGCTCTTTACCTTCCTTCCCTCTGGTGTAAGCTTCAACCGCTCTTGGGATCTTGTTGCAGGTGCTACCTGGTCCTCTTCCGCAAGGACAAGTTCGAGAAGGAGCACATTCGACGCTTCAAAAAAGTGGTGGAGGCTCCTGTTTGGTGGTGGGGTCAGGGTTCATCTATCTGGCTTGTGGTCAGACAGTCCAAGCTTTTGCCACCTTTTTCTGCAGCGCAAAACATGAAGGCGACCGGTAGCTGGAGTGGGGAGTTTTCACAACTAGAATCATTCGCATCTGAGTCATAATAATTGAGTTTGTTGCAGAAGCCAATGCTTTGTGATGCTCCAGCTCAGTCTGTAATATCCAGCCAATCTATTCATTTTTCTGGTAGACTGCCCAGGTTCTCCCTGTGATGTTGCTTGATCCATACATCACATGCGCTGTGCTTTGCAGCTGCTTAACTTGTTTCTTCTTAGTGCATTTTGCGTCTGAGTCAGGGATTCCATGCATGACACCTGCTGGCGCCAGGAAGTTAGATGCCTGGACTCACCTTGGGGATGGGATGATGGGATGTGTAACTGCAATGTAGCTTGTGACTGTTTGTGCGTGTGTCTGAAGTTCACGAGTGTTGAAATGCGAACTGTGCCTGTGTCACAATGATTGAAATCTTGATTTGGGTTCAGTTCAGGACTTGGATACACCGATCAGCCGTGATTAAGCCTATAGGTTTCAGTTGAGCCCCAGCCCATCTTTTGAATCGCGTTGAATCCTTCAAGCAATCTCGAGTCAAGGGGTTGCAACATGGTGAAATTCCAGCTGAACCTCAGGGTTAAGTCTTAGTCTTAGTCCTAGTCTAATGCTCTCAAAAAATTGCCAGCAGCAGTTGAGGATATTTTGCCATGGTGTTTTATTGTGCACACACCCTGGTTACCTGGTAGCCCTGGTACAGCTGCAGCTTGAAGCCAGTTTCTGAGGGTGACATATGTTTCCTGAATTTGTTTCTGTGTTGTGTTCAGGTTACAGGTTTGAGTCCGAGCCTTCAGCTCCAGGGTCTCCAGAGGGGCTATGTCCTTCTTGAGTAGTTGTGGCTGGTAGTGTAGTTACAGGAGCTCCATTATTTTCTTTCATGCTGGCCAAACTTCATGAGATTGAGAGGTCCTCTTTGCCATCAAATCATGCGCCAGGATATCATGGCGTACGTGCACAAGAACCATGTTCCTGTCTCTCTGTCTTCGTTGCTGCTAGAGGAGGGCAGCCCGCTGTTCCAGGAGCACTTTCAGAAGTTCCAGGCAGAAGGTGGTCAGGATGCTCAGGAGAGGCATGACTGTTTGAAGTTTGACGTTGTAGCTCTCAAAGCAGTGCCAATACTGCAGATCCATGAGTGAGTTCTAGGCTTCAGTTTGTTGGGCCAACATTGTTGGGATTCTGCTGGGACTCCTTGGTTATGCTAAGGCTCTAGAATTAGAATAGAGTTTGATGGGAAGGGAATTAGAACAGATAGGGCTAGTGGCGTAGTAGGAAGGGGGGGTCTGTTGTAAAGGACATTTTTCAAGCTTCCCAGCCCTCTCCCAAGCCTCTCCCAAGCCTGTCCCCAGCCTTTCCCAAACATCTCCCAAACCTGTCCTGAGCCTCTCCCAAGCATGTCTCAACCAGACTGTTTGCCATCCTGAGCCAGGTTATTTCAAGGTCCCACAAGCAAATTTCCTTAAGATATTTGAGGGGATTGGGAGCTGCTGCTTGCTGCCATTGCTACCCCTTGCTGCAATGCTGGCACAACCCTGCAATCTTGGGCCCCCCTTGCAACCCTTGCTGCAACCCTCCTAACCCCTTGCCGCAACCCTTGCTGCAATCCTGGCCCCTTGCCGCAACTCTTGCCGCAATCCCAGGCCCCCCTTGCCGCAACCCTTGCCACAATCCTGGCCCCCCTTGCCGCAACCCTTGCCGCAACCCTTGCCGCAA